GGAGCAGGTTTGCCAGTTTGCCTGCCCCGTGTCGTATTCCATCCTTGCGTGCTCAGGCCCGTCAGCCTATCCTGATGTAGGCCCTGTCTGCACGTGTGTTCTATTGGATGTTGCTGTGGCCCTGCGCCTGGGCCTTGGCCATGGGAGCCGAATCCGCTCCAGCAAATGTCAGCAGAAAGGGACGTAGCAAGTGGTGTTAAGTAGCCAAAGGTTCGTTGGTGGGAGTGTAAGAAGGCTGTGGCCCATGGGGAGGGGTTGACCTGTGTGAAGGAGCCAGGATCTGCCTGTGGGGCACTGGGGGATGTAGAAAGACGATCAGGTAGTTCTCTCTGTGCGTCAGGACCACACTAACCGGTGATCCTGTAGAACTGTGATTGAAGGGAGCAGAGTTTGCTACCCCAAAGTATGCCTCTTTGGGATATTGATTATTTTGGGCTGGCTAATTTTAATAAAGAGCAGACGTGGGAGAAGCTGCGAAAACCAAGTAGAAGGGACCCTCAGTAAAGGACAGTTACCTTTGTCAGGGAAACCTCTATCAGTGATTCCCTCACTGTACCAGGCCTGCCTTCACCATCAAAGGAGAAGGCTTACATCTGCATCACCGGCTTACCTTGGAAACTGTATTTTTCCTGGCCACACTGTAACAGAATCTGCACCCTCAGCATCTTTTGTCTTTAGCTGAAGGTGGTATTTAAGGTGATTGCTAACGCCAACTTTCCTGGGTGTCTCCCATGGAAACAGGAGGCATGCATGTTATTAAACTTTAATGTGTTTCCCTGCTAATCTGTCTCATGTTAATGTGATTATTGGTCCAGGCAGAAGAACCTTGAAAGGTAGAGGATAATTTCTCCTCCCCCACATAATTAATGAGAAATAGGCCTTTGGTCTTTGTCCGTAGTTCCTGGCTCAGAGCTCCTAAAACCTTGGGAATTTCCTGAGTGTTGGGGTGAGGAGGGCATCTTTTGTTATTCATAATAAGCCCTTTCAGCCCTACCTGAGTTTGTGCTAACCAGGTTACCCTGGGAGGAGGGAGGCTGGTTGCCTGGGAGACCAACGATGTGACTAGAGCCGTGGTTCTCAACCTGTGGGTCGCGACCCCTTTGGGGGTCGAACGACCCTTTCACAGGGGTTGCCTAAGACCATCGGAAAACACATATATTGTTTTTGTGATTAATCACTATACTTTAATTATGTTCAATTTGTAAAAATGAAATTGGGGCCACCACAGCATGAGGAACTATATTAAAGGGTCGCGGCATTAGGAAGGTTGAGAACCACTGTACTAGAGGGTTGGAACTTTTAGCCCCACACTAGATCTGGGGAAAGGTAGAGGGGACAGGGCACTGGAGATTGAGTTCATCACCAATGGCCAACGATTTAATCAATCATGCCTGCCTAATGGGACCTCCATAAAAACCTTAAGCGACTGGGTTTGGGGAACTTCTGGAGTGAATAGTCCTGTGCGGAGGGTGGGACACCCCAACTCCAGGGAGACAGAAGCTCCTGCGCCACGGGCCCCATCTTCTACCCCCACCTGCCCCACCGGGCTCTATGGACCCTTCATCCTCATGTTCATTTGTAACTTTATAACAAATACCCTTTATAATAAACTGGTAATAGTAATTCTCTGAGTTCTGGGAGCTGCTATAGCAAATGATCAAACCTGAGGAGGGGGTCATGGGAACCCCTGATTTGTAGCCAGGTTGGACAGACGTGTGGAAACCTGGGGACCCAATGCTGCAATTGGGGCTGAGCACTTAACCTGTGGGGTGTGCACCAACCCCAGGTAGATGGTGTCAGAATTGAATTGAACAGTAGGACAGCCAGCTGGTGTCTCAGAGAATGGGAGGATTATTTGATGTGGAAAAACCAACAGATATATCTCGAGTATCGAAACAGTCTTCCTGTAGGTCCCTTTGTTCTTTCAGGGAAGATGCCCAACACTTTCACAGGTTTAGAGTTAGATTCACAAATTGACTGTCCATACCTTCCTGATCTTGGAGTGAATTCTGCCCACCACCCAGGGGCTACGGACCCCAGCCAAGTCAGTCCTCTGTCCTCAGAGAAACGAGTTAGCTGTGGGCCTTTTGCAGGTCCTTATCCGAAATCCTCCCCCCGCAGGAGGAGAGGGGACTGGGTGATCTCACCTCAGGGAGCTCCTGGTGCTAAGGAACATTTTAGGACCTTGGTCTTCCCAAACCCTCTTCCAGGAGCAGGGCACAGGCTCACCCTGAGGAGGGGGTGATGGGGACCCCCTGACCAGGTTGGACAGCCTTCGTGCTCCCCACTGTGGACGAAGGAGCTCTCCTCTCCCACGATGCTAAGGACTCGCAGGCCCCGCTCAGGGCACAGCAGTTTTTCTGAAGGTCCTGGAGGGAAGTGGAGTTGGAATTAGTGTACCCTGACCCCTGGCCTCCCAGGCTCCTCTTCTGTGCAGTCTGTCCCGGGCATCTCCCTGGGGCGGCTTGGCTGGCACCTGAGCTCCTCCTCCACGGGGCCTGGCCTGGGGAGCAGGCTTATTTATTCTCTCCTGGCCCTAGGCGGTGTCCTGGAAGCCCTGCTTGTTTTTACTAAGCATGCCCGAGGGATTCTCCTCCCAAGCCCAGGGCCTCCCAGATTGGAGGATGGAGGAGCCGCTGCTCTCCTTTGCTGACCGAATCTCCCCACACTGGTCAGCACTCCAGCGCTTGCCCCTGGCCCCACAGCTGCTTTCTGACATGAAACCCCTACCTCCGCAGGCAGTCCCTCAAAGAGGCAAGGAAGAGATCTGGAATGGGTGATTTTTTTTTAATTTTATCTTATTGATATTATTTCCAGCTGGATAAAGTTAGTAAAAATTCAAAAGAGAATACAACAAAATATATTTTGTATTTTTTTTTCTAATGAATCCATTTTAGAGTTTTATACAAAGGAGAATAAAACAAAGAACGTTGAGCTGCGGGTTAATACATAAGCCAATAATTAAAAGATTGTAACTCAAACGGCAAAGATGCCCTTGTTAAAATAAAAAAATAAGGAAGTGTTGCTGAATTCATAAAATTCTAAACAGTGACTTTCCTGACGGAGCGTCTAAAATACACGTGTTTCTTCATCATAGGAGTTTCCTCTGGGAGCCACCCCTCCCCTGCAGGTACATACCACAGGCGTGGCTCACAGATGAGTCTGTAAACAGTAGAAGGAGCTGTAAAAATCTGAAGTGAGGTGTAACTTGATAAGCTACTCAGATGTGCAAAATCAAGTGGGTCAGCTAAAAAGTTCACAAATGTTTACTGTGGGTTTCATTTAAGATGCCCACCACCCTCCTGCAAGAATCATTTCAACCCAGGAGGCCTCCTGGGTCTTTCTTTGGCAGAAACGGCTGCCATGTCTGCACTGTAAACTCTTGCTTCAAGTGTATTGTGAATGCACACTGACCACTAGTAAGTCCTGATGAAAAGTCACTCGAATCTTTCCCACGGAGCGGCTCCAGCAGCGGCATGGAGGGCAGCCTGACCTGAACCGTGTTTGGTGAAACCAGAGCCAGGGCCCTCCTGCTGGCCGGGTCGGAGACGCGCCCTGCGCCTGCCAGGTGTCCACAGGAACTCCGTGTACGACTTCTCAGAAGCCGCAGTCCGGAGGAGATTCTGATCATTTTTTCCCACCACTTAAAACGATACCGCTCAGTTCATTCTCCAACGGGCTTTCTGGCCTATTTAAAAATAGTGTCGAAACTCCACTGCTTCTTATTTTAAAAAGGGAACACCCAGTAAATAGAATATTTTTATCTCCTCTGTCGGTCATCAAGTTCTTTGCCAAACATTGCTTTAAATCCTTTGTGAAACAGAGGACAAATAAAGAAAACAAACAAGATGGTGCCCCCACCAGGTGCATTAGCAGGAAGTCACCTTCCCAGCTCTAGCAAAGACGCCCCTGGGTGTGAGCAGGTGTGGGCGATGGGACTGACAAAAGCCCCCTCATCTGTGGGCCTCTGCTGGGACCCTGAGTATGTATTTGTCTCCTGAGCCTCCTGGATTTGCAGCTCTGAGAAGCTGAACCCCAGTCTCGATGCAGCCTTCCCCTGGGGCAGGGACACCTTGGATCTCCGTAGCCTGTGCTCTTTGAGACAATGGGCACCCCGACTGCCCGGTGGAGGTGGAATGGCACCAGAGCCAGAGGCTTCGGTCCTGTGCATGGCCAGCCCTCAGCTCCAAGGGGAAGCAAAAGGCAGTGAGGGAGGTGTCTCCCCAAGGCCCCCCCCCCCCCAGAGGTGGGGCTCCTCATCCAGATGCCCAGACACTAGACACGGGGCAGCGCCACCCATGCAGGTGACTGTCACCCACACCGCCTCCTGCTGCTACAGCGAGCAAACCAGGCACACACCCTCCTGGGTGAACCCGGGGCACTGCCCCTGCTTTACAGAGGAGCAACCCACGGAGCCCTCTGAGGGGTGACGGAGGGAGACCAGCACCTTAATCCGCCTTCAGCTCCCGTGGGGCTCTCAGGCTCACCTGACGCTGCAGTTGAGAGTCTCTAATCGGCCTGATTTTAAGTTAATTGCCTGATTGGAGGGTCGAGGGTGCCAGGAAATGAGCCCCGCCCCTGGACAAAGCCCAGCTGGGTGTGCAGACCTCACCTTTCCTTCCTAGCCTCACTGAGCCCAGTGCCGCTTTGGCCACCATGCATGTCCGTCACATCTGGCTGACCTGTGCTGAGAGGAGACACCACAGCGACCTGGACCTCACCATGGACAGGGTGAAAACGGACAAACCCAGCTCTTCCTAAGCACCCAACCAAAGCTTAAATAAAAAAAGCCCTTCTTGCCCTGGCCCGTGTGCTCAGTGGTTAGAGCATTGGCCTGCCCACCGAAGGGTCTCAGGTTCAATTCTGGGTCAAGGGCACATACTGGGTTGCAGGTTTAATCCCCAGCCCCAGTCTGGGTGCGCGAGGGGAGGCAACCAATCGATGTCTCCTCTCTCTCTCTCCCCCTCCCTCCCTCCCTTTATCCCTCCCTCCCTTCCAAACTCTCTAAAAATCAATGGGAAAAATACCCTCAGGTGAAGATTGACAACAATAACAACAAAAAATAAAATAAGAAACCCTCCTGTAAATGAACAGTCAAGTCGGAGAATAAAGAGGTTGCAGCACACATGAAGGAAGCTTCTCCGGGAAGAAAAGTCTAGAACATCGCTCAGAGGCAAAGACAGCAAACATCACGAAGTCTTCAAAACACAGAAATCCATCTTCTGCAAGAGAACAGCACCGACAAGCGTGTGCTGGGCAGTGAGGGCTCACAGCGTCCGCCTCTGCTGAAAACCCGGGGCACACGCGTTAGGGTTCAAAGACCACTCTGCGGCCCCTGAAAGTGCGTGCCCTGTAACGTTAAATCTTAAAACTGGACACACGATGTGGCTCCTCATGCGTCTGTGTTATGGAAAAAATAGCCGAGGGAAAAGTCTGGAGAAAAAGCAGTCCAAGGTAGTAACAGAAATCATCTAAAGGTAACGTGGTTATGGGTGGTTTTTATTTCCTTCCTTATACTGTTATACAATGTTCAAAGATTGTAGACTGAAAAGGCATTGTTGCCCTAACCAGTTTGGCTCAATGGATAGAGCATTGGCCTGCAGACTCAAGGGTCCCAGGTTCGATTCCGGTCAAGGGCATGTACCTTGGTTGTGGGCACATCCCCAGTAGGGGGTGTGCAGGAGGCAGCTGATCGATGTTTCTAATTCTTTATCCTTCTCCCTTCTTCTCTGTAAGAAATCAATAAAATATATTTTTAAAAAAGAAAGAAAGAAAAGGCATTGTCTTAGTGAGTAAAGATAAATTCGAATAATATAACATCGCGGGCAGGGGTAGGAAACGCCCCTGTGCTTTTCAGGAGAGCAGCGTGGGGCGAGAGAGCATTGCGGCCCCGTCATTGGCCGGCAGTGCCATCCAGCGTCCCAGCAGGACGTGGAGACCCCGGAGGCTGCTGTGATGACTGAGGAAGACGGTGTGACATTGCGTTTTCCTCACCACAGCAGTTTCTAAACGAAAGCTTCCTTGGACTGGTGCACCTGCAAACACGGTGCTGAGAACGACCTTCCGATCGCTCTGCAGCCTCGCCTTCCTCTGTAACGGACTCGAGTATTTCCCGTGATCTGTTCTGCTCCGGCCCAGCTGGGCCCAGGTGCAGGGACAGGGTGTGCCAGAGCCCGGTTCCCAATGTCCTCACTCCACCTTCCTGACCGTCATCAAGAAGGTAAAGATAGATTATCTTCCCCCGGGAGAAGCTGCGACAAACCAGAGCTCTTAGCCCTCATTCCAGAATGTGTCAGGACTGGTGTCTGCATTGGAGTCACGGGCCCTCAGTCGAGGCACTCAGTGTGCGACTCCCCTGCCCAGGTCACACGCACTGGCGGCGTCTGAGTGAGGCAGGGGCCGAGGTCTGAGACCCACCACATCCATGCCTGCCGATGACCCGCAAGGAGACGGTGCCCTTAAAGGCCAAAGCTGGCGGAGCCCCCTAAGAGCAGCCAGGACAGACACATGCCAAGTTCAGCACCAAACCTTAAAGTGCCCAAAGCAGCACAGATCTGTGAAAAGGTAGACGTGTGTGCTTGGACGAACTCCAAGTAGAGATGCCTCAAGTGAAATAAGGAACAGATCCACGGTGGGCAAAGGCCTGGTGTGCCTGGCACCTGCCTCGTCCTCGCTGTGCACAGCTCCCGGGAAGTCATGTGCACTGAGAACACAGGGCAGGCTCCACAACACGTTCAGGCAACACGTCCGTAGCCGTGGGGACAGTTACTGTGAGAGTGAAAGGAAACCACTGGTCCAGGGGCCTTTGGAGGCAGGAAAACAGCCTGCAACCTGAGTGAGGAGCAGAAACGGAGGCATCAGACGTGCCAGTGGTCCCGACGCCGGGGGCTTCACTTTGGAAGTTCGAACGTGTCATTGGCCCTGATAACTTTGGCTCGAAAGGACAAATCAAAGGACCTCTGGTCGCAGAAGCTTTGGGCTTTGTACTTTGAGAAGTGTGCTGACTTTCTCTGATGTTCGCGGTCCAATGTGCTCCTTCCTGCCCTGGAGATGTCTGGGGGCCCCTCCTGGGCTGGGGCACCAGGCGTCTGGCAGCCCCCAGGCTTGGGCGTGGGCACTGCAGTGCCTTGTGTTGACTCAGGATGGACGGACGTCTGGCTCTTGGCCACCTGCAGACAGTGTTCTCCCACCTTCTGTGGCACTCTAGGTGGCCCCTGGCCACCCGTGAGGGCTGGTCTCTGGGACTGCCCACTGGCACCTGGTGTAGACGTAGGTGCCACAGCCAAGGAATTGCCTGTGGGCCGCACCAAGTGGTGGGGTGCCATCCCGCCGGCCTGGGCCTGTGCCGGGCGCCCCCGCTGCTCTTCAGTGTGGAGACCGTGCTGCGCTGAGGGGTCCTCTACAGACTGCACCCACTGCCCCGGGGCGCGTTCTGGTCCCTTCTCAGCGTGTCGGCAAGGAATCTCCCCACCAGCGGTCGCCCTGTCACTCCCCACCACGTCATCCTGGGGCTGTGTCTGCGCCTCTTCAGAGCCACACGAGGGGGTCTTCTGGCTTGAAGGAGGGACTCCCTTCTGACCAGGACTCTTCGGCCCCACAGGCCCTGAGACCCTCTCCTCTCCACCCCCCAGGCCTGCCTGTGACCCTGGCCTCTCTCTGACCTCCATGTCCAGCAGGACACCAGCTTGTGTGCGGGATGCAGGCAGCAGGTGTGCCTGGAGGCCGGGACACGTCTGGGGGGCCCCTTCTGCTCCTGTCGATGGCACTGAGGGTAACTGATGGGAAACGCCAGCAGCGAGAGGAAGCTGATTTTCCCACACGACATGCTTCTCCTCCCTGGCCCGCTGCTCCTCAGGAGACGCTGGGGGCTTGTCCAAGCCGTGGCGCGGAGGCCCCTGTACGCCACCTCCCTGCGGTGTGGGGTGATGTGAGGGTGCAACCGGGGACTTCGTGCTGTTCCCCCGAGGACCTGCTTGGGCAGCCGCGGTATTTCTGCTTCCTGCTGCCCCATTCGCTTTGTTGGCTGCCGGTTCATTTGAAACCCCCAAGCCGGGGTCGGCAGGCGTGAGTGGGGGGCCCGCGGCCTCCTGTGGGAGGGCGGTCAGTGACTCCGAGGTCGCCGGCAGGCGCTGCCCCGGGTCTCCGCAGCCGTGGCCCTCTGCCGCTCTGCCGCTGGGGGGCTTCGAGGGCCCTCCTGGTGCCAAGAAGAGGTGGCTGTTGGGTGCATGGCCGAGGCCCTCTGCGACAAGACTGTGACCTGTCGGTGAGGAGCCAGAGTCTCTCTTGTGCAAAGGGCTCCCCTGTTCAGGAGAACTGATTTCGGCGTCCACGGTGTTCCCTGGTGCTGGTGCTATGTGGCTCTTGGCGACCCCTGTGGCTGCCCCTCGTCCGGGGGCTTTGATACTTGGTTGGGGGCCTTCATTTAAGGAGGCCGGTCGGTTCTCACCAACATCCTGGCTGGCACCCCCTTCAGCCATCAGCAGGGGCTGAGTGGACTCAGTTACTGGTGGCCCCCTGCGTTCTGCTCGCTCACGCAGGATGTCCTGACCCACTGTGGTCACACGCTCAGACCTCGCCCAGTCCTCGGCCGGTGCCGCCAGCAGTGTTGGGGCGCCCGTCGAGTCTCCCTCGTTGGGAGATGGCGCTTGCTGACCACACAGTGCGAAGCGGCTGTCGCCCGTGGGGCGAGTTTCCGGAGCTGTGGAGTGATGTGCTGGGGCGCCCTCGCCACGGACGGGCATTCCCTCTGATTCTGGCAACGGATGCTGCTCAGACCTGAGCGCAGACACACGCTGTCCTGAAATACGCTCCTGATCCTTGAGTTTGTTGGAATTCCCACAGCTGCGTTGGTCTTCTTTTCCGCCAGCGGGACTTGTCGGAGGTTTCAGCGTCCAAGCTGCCTCTGGGGTGTCACCATCAATGCTGGCAGCACCCCTTAGGGGCGTGAGAGCCAGGTCTGCCCGGGAGTCCTGCTGAGAAGGGGTGCTGAGTCCCCTGGGCGTCCCTGCAGGCTGGTCCGCTCCCATCGGGGCCACCTTGGTGCTTTCACTCCCCGTCGTCGTGGGAAATGGCGCAGGTGCATGTTCAACCTCGCTCTCTCTTCCCCACACAGGAGATGGTGGGTCTGCATGACCTGCTGCCTCCTGCAGCGCGGCAGGAGGGAGTGGCATCTCATGGACCACCGGGAGCCTGACGGTTATCTGCGGAGGCTCGCAGGCCATCTGGGTGCGCCGGGCAGCCTGGGCGGCTGGCACGCTGAGTGGTGGGATCTGTCCCGGGACTGGCTGTTCCGGAAAATTCTCCTGGACAGCAAAGAGGGGGTCTTGCTCTGAGTCTGAAATCACTCTTTCCGTTTCATCCTCCGAACTGCAAACCATGAGGTCCACCTGAGGGGCCTCCTCTGCTCCCTCACCTGGGGGCCCGGGGCGGGGGCCTGCCCTTGGCCCCTCCGCCCCCTGGGAATCATCTGAGGTGATGCCTGCTGGGGGCCCCTCCATCCTGTCACCTCCCAACACCCTGGCGTGCCCTGGGCTGGCTGGTGTGAGCAAAGAGAACTTGGGTTCCAGGCCAGGAGGGGCTTCCGGGCTCTGGGAGGCAGGCGAGCGGGCCGGCTCAGGGAGGCACTCAGGCCCTGCACTCAGGGAGGCTGCTGTCAGGGTGGGAGCCACGGCCTGCGCTACCAAGGCCTGGGGGGGCCCCCCATCCAGCAGCCCCTTTCCTGGTGTTTGGGTCCCATCAGGCACCATCTCCCCCGCGTTGGGGGGCCTGCCGGTTTCCTTTGGGGGCATGCGCCTCAGGTCCGAGTGTCTGATCTTGGCGCAGTGGGACAGCCAGCTCCGGGGGCCGCCGACGATGGTGACGATGCTGAAGGCTGGCATGGGCTCCTCCGAGCAGGCCAGAAAGCGAGCAGGGGGCATCCTGATGCAGGAGCTGGCCAAGGTGGCCGTGCAGAGCACGCGGGCCTCGGGCCGGTGCATCTTCTTCCGCTGCAGGTTCTTCTTCTTTCGCTCCTCCATGTGGAGCGGCAGCACGCCGGCCTCTGAGCACAGACCCCCGCTCTGCTCGAACTTCTCCCGCAGCTTGGCGAGGACCGAGCCCTTCTTGCCCACGATCTTCGGCAGGAGGCCCCTGGCGGCCTTGGACCGCTGCGCAGGGGGCTTCTCACGCAGCCTCTTCTCCTCGGCCTCCTTCTCCTCTGCGGCCAGGAACTTCTTCAGAATGTTTTTCACGGTGTTTCTCCCGGCGGGCAGGCCCCCCCGGGGCTTATCACGGCTAAGGGGCTCCTGGCCCCCCGCGGAACTGCCGGCCCCCTCCCTGGTCTTCTCTAGGAGCTTGTTGATGGTGGTGGCCACCACGCTCCTGCCTGGGCCTTGCTTGTCCTTGAAGATCAGCCTTCCCACCTCCTGGGTCTTCTTGAGCCAGGTCTCCCGGCCAGTGCCCATGAACTTGGCCTGCAGGAGCTGGAAACGCGTGGGCCGCCGGTTGGCGTCTTGGGGCTCGGGCTTCCCGCTCCCCTGGCTGTCTCTGCTCTCTGTCCTCTTGGTGGGAGGCAGCCCCTGGGGCCCGTCCTCACGGTGGGTGATGTAGAGCAGCAGGCTTCTGAGGATGGCACGGACAGCGGGGTCGCGGGTCGCCTTGCTGACCTTCTTCTTCAGGGCTTGGGCATCAACAGGTGTCTTACTACTGCAAATCTTGACACTCTTGGGGCTGTAGGGAAACACACACACACAATCATCACAAATGTTATCATTTTTTCCGAGGTGACCCCATAGAACATTTCTTCTTTATTCAAATTTAATATATATATATATATATATATTTTATTGATTTCCGAGAGGAAGGGAGAGGGAGAGAGAGAGACAGAAACATCAATGATGAGAGAGAATTATTGATTGGCTGCCTCCTGCATGTCTTCACACTGGGGATTGAGCCCTGACTGGGAATCAAACCATGACCTTCTGGTTCATAGGTTGATACTCAACCACTGAGCCACACCAGCTGGACCATAATCCTATTTTAAATACCCAAGGATTCCAGGAGGAAAAACAGAAGAGTGGGAGGCAAGAGACTTGTAGTTTAGTGCATCCCCGCCCATAACTCAGGGATGTCAGGGACGCCCATCACCTCCCTGGGTGGCTGTTCCCTTTTCTGTGAAAGAGCAATCATTTCTGACCTAATACCCTCCTAAGGGCTCTGGCTGGTTGACATTAAATAGTTCTGTGAAAGCCATTTTTAAAACGACTTTGCATGTGAAAGGTATTTAATGTTTTTATAATGGACAATATCATACCTGGAATAAATGGGGCGTAAGCAAGCATAAAGAACTTATATTCTATGTGTGGGTCTGCATATCTCTCACTTTAAGTATGAGAGATGAGGTTAACATCACAGCTATGTCCTGACTCAATCACAAACCGAGCCTCTGAGAGCAATCAGCGAGACCCCAGCCCTGGGTATGAGAGGACTCAGCTTCGGAGTCCGGGTCACTGGGGCAGAACACCTGGGCTGTGGGTGGTGAACCCCAAAGCAGGCGGGAGAGGGCTTTGCTACAGAGTGGCAAGAGGGCTGGGGCACCGCTGGGACCTGCCTTCAGGAACCCCTTTGAAAATGCTCCCAGAGAAACCCTCAGGCAGAGGGAGGCCCGAGCCATCAGCACACCGCCGTTCTATGCCTGTGGACCCTTCTCAGCAAGGCTGCCGGATTCCTTCATCTCAGCCAAGCCACTGCAGGCGGGGACCTCAGCTCTCTTGGGGGAGGGGTCTCTGATCTATGACAAGGCTTCTGAGCATGCGGGCTGAGCGGCTCTCCCTTGAGCGGCTGGCACCCAGGGGTGCACCTGCCAGCTGCCATGTCAGAGCCAGAGTCCTTCCTGGTGGGGAGAACCACCCCCAGCCTTTTCGGGCGGTATTTTGTCAAGTTGCACCCAGAATTGTAGCCTCGCCATGACCCGGCCCCGTGGGGTTAGGTCCCTCACCAAGGGCTCCAAGGACATGACCAGGAAGTAGAGCAAAGGTTCTGCGGTGCAAGGAAAGTCTTCATGGCTGTTTAGAATATAAACATAATTGGAAATGCCCGACCTGTCAACCCCCAGGCTGCTTAAATAACACGCGTATTTACAGGAAAATAATCTGGTGCAGGAAAGTGCTTGTGATGTAAAGTTGGAAGTGCAAGCTGCAAAGCTGTATGTGGACTTTGGCCCAACTGTGTTTTTAAAAGAATGGCGCGGACACACAGAGACCGAAGACAGATGGGAAGGAAATACACTAACGTATTTTTCTTTTTGTACTTCCATGCATTTTTCCAAAAAAAGAGAGTTCTATCTTTAGAAGCCACATGCAAATGTCCTTTTAAAAAGCTGTCCTGATCACTTACGTGCCACTGTGATGGGGGAGCACCAGCAGCCCTCCCCTTCGGCGGCCCACCTCACGGACAGGGAAGAATCTGACCCCACCCACTGGGTGAGCCCACAGGATCACCCAATGCCGGGGGATGGATCTCAATACACAGAATTTCAAGGCAAACATAACCTTGGAGTTCTGCCTCCTTAGCCTCCCTGGCAACCTCAAATTCACCTCCATGCAGTGAATTCACACAGGAAGTGTCGGATGTCTCCGGCCCTCAAAGACATCAGAGCCCTGAGAGGACTCCTTAAAACCCGGAGCGCTGGGCGGCCACACCACAATTCTGACTCAGTTTGTCTCTGAGGGGCCAAGAACTTGCATTTCAAACAAGTTCCCTGCGTGGCCGATGCTGCCGGCCAGGGACTCCAGTTTGAGCACCACTGGGATAGACAGATCTTTTTCAACCTCAGACAACTGGGGATTTGGAGAACTGAAGCAGTGGATTAGGCTCCTAAAACAGAACAATATCTGAACCCACTCCTAAGCCACGACGTGGTGCGTAGACATCCCAGAGGACACGGCCGCCCACCGGCACCAACGAGGCCGAGAGGCCTGATGCTCACTGAGAACCCGCAGGAGGGGCCAGCCCACCCGGGACGGTGCCTGGCTGTGTCCTCAAAACTGAAAAGGCCGCCCCCCCCCCCCCCCCCCCCCCCGGCTTGGCCACTGAAGGTCCTGGACCAGCATCAGGGATTAGGGAAGACCAAGGAGCAGCCGAGTTCTGTGCTGTTTCAGCCTTTGGTGCCTCCTGCCCTATTTGAGAAGGTTGGCATCACACCTCGGCTGTCTGTGGCCCCGGCATCATTGCCACAGTGCTCACTTTCCCTGAACCCCAGGTGTTCAGCAGGGACGGCCTCTCTCCCATAGGGTTAGGTCCCTCACCAAGGGCTGCACCAGGTTATCTGAGACCTCCTTTGACCTGAGAACAGCAGCCAACACCAGGGACTCAGTGCTCCAGGCCAAAGCGTTTCAGGGGCTTCCTCCACAGCCCTCAATGCATCTCTGTCAATCTTACAAAGGCAGCTTGAAAGAGACCCGGCCCAGGAGCCATAGGGATGGATTAGGGGTGGAGGGGGGAGCTGGTCCCTGTGGCTGATGCTGGGACATCAGGGGAAAGCCCTGCTCAATGCAGTGCCCCATCCGCGATCCGAGAGTTGTTACGTCTCACATCTCTGAAATAAGAGGAACGTAGTGACCGATGGCGTCATGGCCCGGTCGATAGCTTGATCGGCTGGTGGCATTTTTATTTCCCAGAGGCACATGGACCATGGGCATCTCTGCGTTGGCTCAGTGGAACTCACCACGATGCTCTGCCACTAACTCCCTGGGCGTTTTTCCAGTGCCTGCTGGTGAGCGCCCTGCTCCTCACACTGGCTGCCTCACTGTATCTCCTTATCTCGTAGGGATGGTTGTCACCCCTTCCACGTCTGGGAAATCAACGCTGGAGATAGTCAGTGGCTTGTTGGAGTTCACAGGGCTGACCAAGTGCAGAACCAGGATGAGGTCGGTGCTCAGCTTCATGGAACATCATGGGGATCGCCCCTGGGAACTGCCCAGGTCTCAGCGCCTGGTGGACATCTGGGCCTCACAGGCACATCACACGTGGCTGAACCGACCTCCCTGCACCCCAATCCCTCTTCCCGTTTTTCCTCTCTTGGCAGATGGCTCCTGCTGCCCCCAGAAACACCAGTCATCCTTGGCTCCCACACCCACACCCACACCCACACCCACACCCACACCCACACCCACGCGTGGCTGAGCTCTGCAGTCCTATGGCCTAGGATGGAGGAATTGTCTCTGCCACCCTCACTGACCACACAAAAATCAACTCTGAAAACAAAACAAAACAAAAAACCTCCTCTGCTTGCTTCGGCTCCGCTCCCGCCTGCTGTTGTCTCTGAATCACGCCCGTGAAGGTGGCATCCGGACAGTGGCTTCCACTGACTTTAGAATTGAACGTGAACTGCCAGCGAGGCCCGCAAGACTCAAGCCTCACTTTGTGCCAGTTCCTCCTGGTTCCTGGGCCTGAGCTGCTCTGCCTGCCCTCTACCAAGTGTTCCTCTTTCTTTCTGCCACTCTACCCCACCTTCCTCACCTTCCTTGCTCAGGTCTTGGTGTAAGTGCCACTGTTCAAGGAGGTCCTCCCTGACTCCCTTTTGTTTTGTTTTGTTTTGAAAATCCTCACCCAAGGATATTTTTTCCATTGACTTTTAGAGAGAGTGGAAGGGACGGGGGAGAGACACAGAGAGAGAAATATCAATTGGTTACTTTCCACACACGCCCTGACCAGAGATCGAGCCTGCAACCGAGGTACGTGCCTTTGACAGGAATAGAACCCATGACCCTTCAATCCTCAGGCCTACACTCTAACCACTGAGCAAAACCAGCTAGGGTAAAAATATGTGTGTGTTTTTAAATTGACTTCAGAGAGAGGAAGGGAGAAGGAGAGACAGATAGAAGTGTCAATGATGAGAGAGAATCATTGATCGGCTGCCTCCCACACGTCCCCTACTGGACATCGCAACCCGGCATATGCCCTGACTGGGAATCGAACTGGCTTTGTGGGTCGATGCTCCACTGAGCCACGCAGGCCAGGCTTGAGAGTGTTTCTTTGGCAGCACCCTCACAGTCACACTGAATTCTTGGCCTAATTACTTAACATCTATCTCCACTACATTACGTGAGACTCTTCCCACAGAGTGAAACACGTAGCTCAGTGCCTGGCACATGGTGGGTCCTCCGTAGGCTTTTATGGACTGAATAACACACCTGTGACTAAGCAACGTGCTGAGGGCCTCCTGCTTCATCATCATTCCCGTCTATCAACGAGCCTCCCACAATGACTGCGACGTGCGGAGAGCCCGGCTAAATGCGGAAGGGTTACAGCAGCAGGGACAGCGATTCAGCGCCAGCGTCGGCTGTCCACACGCCACGTGGGAGCCTCTGGGTCTAGGACTCAGTTGCCAGGAGGGGCCTGGAGGAAGCCTGGCCTGGTCCCAGGTAGGACCAAGCTCTGGGCCTCCCGAGTCACGTTGCCGGGCGGCCTCCCAGCTTGGAGTCATTTGCTCACTTGGTCATTTCAATCATCTTTATGACTTCGCAGGTTGAGTCATTCAGATAACTGAAATAGTTACACCGACAACGTCCTTTGGGACATTCGGGTGTCTGAATAAGGCCCCGAGGGTCAGCCGTGTCTGAGCTCATCCGCCGCTCCGTGTACCTTGCCAACAGGTTCTGAGTCCCATGGTCTAAATAGAAAGATGAAGAATGCAGCTGACAGCACACTCCTGTCAGCCTCCTGTCTTA